CAGGTGTAAGCCACCACACCTGGCCCAAAATCTATCTTTCATTTTTTGGAGTTGGGGTCTCACTCTGTCTCAGCATCTCCCCATCACCTACTCTTGAAGGAGCTCCTTCAAGATACTTTTTTCATTTTTGACTAGAGACTGGACCTTGATATATTGCCCAGGCTGCTGTCTAACTCCTGGCCTCAAGCCACCTTCCAAAGTGCTGGGATTGCAGGTGTGACCTACCATACCTGGCCACAGCTATCTTTTAAAAGCACAAGTCTATCAAATCCCTGCTTAAAATTCTTCAAAAAATTTCCAGTGTATATGGGATTAAATAAACATCCCTACACCTTGCACCGGGGTCCTTCATGGCCTGCTCTTGATCTCCCATCACTCCCCTCCATTTTAGTGCCTCAGGCTCCTGACTTTCTGTTCTTCTAAACTTGCCCTGTTGTTTAAAAGCCCTGAGATTTTTGCAGGACAGCCATTCTTTCTTTAAAAATCTGACCACAGCTTGCCTTCTCCCTGAAAGAAGTTGTCTGTCTTCCTCCTGAGATTTTTTTATTTTTATAGGGAGTCTCACTCGTCACTCAACCTGGAGTGCAGTGGGATGATCTTGGCTCACTGCAACCTCCACCTCCCAGCTTCGAGTGATTCTCCTGCATCAGCCTCCCGAGTAATTGGGATTACAGGCACACGCCACCATGCCTGGCTGATTTTTATATTTTTTTTGTTTTTGTTTTTCTATTTTCTTTGAGATGGAATTTTGCTCTTGTTGCCCAGGCTGGAGTGCAATGGCACGATCTCGGCTTACTGCAACCTCTGCCTCCTGGGTTCAAGTGATTTTCCTGCCTCAGCCTCCCAAGTAGCTGCGATTACAGGCATGTGCTGCCGCACCCGCTATTTTTTTGTATTTTTAGTAGAGATAGGCTTCTCCATGTTGGTCAGGTTGGTCTTGAACTCCCAGCCTCAGGTGATCCACCCACCTCATCCTCATAAAGTGCTGGGATTACAGGTGTGAGCCACTGTGCCTGGCTAATTTTCGTTTCTAGTGGAGATGGGGATTCGCCATGTTGGCCAGGCTCATCTCGAACTCCTGACCTTAGGCGATCCGCCCGCCTCAGCCTCTCAAAGTGCTGGGACCACAGGCATGAGCCGCTGTGCTGGGCCCCTTCCTGAGATTTATTTGTTCTCCCCGACCTTCCGTTAGCAGCTGTCTGTCTCTACAGTAAACAGCTGTATGGGTTCCTCTCTTCTTTCTGGCCAGCTGTAGCTTGCAGGCGTCCCCAAACTTTTTACACAGGGGGCCAGTTCACTGTCCTTCAGACCGTTGGAGGGCCGCCACATACTGTGCTCCTCTCACTGACCACCATTGAAAGAGGTGCCCCTTCCATTTATCCGGGAGGCCGGATAAATGGCCTCAGGGGGCCGCATGCGGCCATGGTTTGGGGATGCCTGGCTTAAGGGAAAGGCTGTATCTTATCTTGCTTACAGGTACATAACAATTCTACAAATGATCAGGGCTCATTAAACACTTGCCGAATAGGTGAGTAAGTGAGTAAATAGTTGAGCATGGGAAGAGGCATAGTCATTGCTGGAAAGCAGAAAACCAAAGGAACTCGAAATTTCAAGAGACTGAAATGTAAGTATCCTTTTCTGAAATGCACATGGACATTCTTTAGCATCAGTGAGTAAAAGTTATGTGATTACGTGGAGCAGTGAGCACATAACCCATGCCGTCTCAGTCACTTGAACCAAACTGCTTCTAAAGTCAGAGGCATAGGTTAAAAGCAAAATGGCACAGTAACCATCAGTCCAAAAAAAAAAAAAAAACAGTTACCATACCAAGCATGCGTTAATTACAACCAGGAGGGAAATTATTTTTCCCTGCTAGTATGAAAATTATTTTGAGCAAACATTTAAAGAGTAAAAGCCTCATTGCTGGGTGACACCCTATCAGCTTGAATCAGCTCAGTTACTAGGTTGACAAATCAAAAGCAAAAGCAAAACAAACAAAACAAAACACAAAAACAAAACAAAACACAAAAACAAAACAAAACACAAAAACAACCTCAGCACATTCTATCATCACCAGCCCCCAAAATTTAAAAGCATGTTACTGCAATAATGGGTGAGCGGTATCATCTTAAAACACAAATGACAGCCATTTCTGAGGAGTCAAGAGAAACTTAGGATCTTGGAAAACATCACCAAAGGTGAGAAGGGAGGACCTAGGTTTGGCAAAGGAACCGTGAAGGTGCCAGATGGGCGACCTCATGGAGCAGCTGATTATAGAGGGCTGAATTATAGATGTCCCCCAGGTTGGTGCCATGTAGCCTTTTAGAGGCAAAATGGGAAATTCTGAGGGAAAAAACCCAGACAGATATTAATTTAAGAATTCTGGATTCCAGCCACTGGGTACATTTCTAACGTAGGGTTCCTGTGAGATCATGCCCCCTAGAAGTAGAAATTAGATACAGCAGAAGATACCTTCGAACAAAGAGAGAATGGTTGGGGAAAGCGGCATCTTTCCAAATAGCTTGAAGACCTGGGAAACCTCTGACGCCAAGCACCTGGGCAAAGGGAGTCCATATAGCCAACTCTTCCTAGACAGTGTCAGGAGGATTGAACCTGGGTCCCACCAGGGCTGTGTCACTAGTGCCAAGGGCAGTGCCTGGCACATAGTAGGTGCTCAAGGAACATCTATCAAAAAATGCCAGGCGAACATATATTGTAGGATGTGAGGTGCCCTCATTCACCCAGAAAGCAAGATTGGACAAGATATTATAAACCAAAAATAAAATTCTAAGGACCCTCAACCATCTGAATGGAATTCCTCCTCAGCCAAGACTCTGTTTTTTGTTTTTGAGACCGAGTCTTGCTCTGTCATCCAGGCTGGAGTGCAGTGGCATGATCTCAGCTCACTGCAACCTCCACTCCTCATGTTCAAGCAATTCTCTCTCAGCCTCCTGAGTAATTGGGATTACAGGCACATGCCACCACACCCGGCTAGTATTTTGTGTTTTTAGTAGTTAGACAGGTTTTGCTATTTGGTCAGGCAGGTCTTGAACTCCTGACCTCAAGTGTTGTACCATCTCAGCCTCCCAATAGTTCTGGGATTATAGCTCTGAGCCACTGCGCCCGGCCAGGGGTCTTTTAAAATGTTACCCAAGAGACTGTTTCAGGCCATGACGAGAAGTGGGGTCTGACATGCCTTACTATACCGCTCCAGCATTATCACCAACACAGACCTTACATCTGGTAAGAAATATTTTACAGCCTATTCTCTCTGAAGCCTACTACCTGAAGGCTTCCTCTGCAAATAAGAACTTGGGTCTCCACAATCCTTTATTTTAACCCAGACATTCCTTTCTTTTGATCCCAAGTCTTTAGATAAACTCAACTAATTGTCAACTAGAAAAATTGTAAATCTACCTATAAGCTGGAACCTCCCACCCCTACCTCCACCCCAACCCTATTTCCACCCCTGATTCAAGTTGTCCTGCCTTTCTGGACCAAACCAGTGTTTTTTGTTGTTGTTGTTTTTGTTTTGCTTTGTTTTTTTTTTTTTTTTTTGAGGTAGAGTTTTGTTCTTGTTGCCCAGGCAGGAGTACAATGGCAGGGTCTGTGTTCACTGCAGCCTCCACCTCCCAGGTTCGAGCAATTCTCCTGCCTTGGCCTCCCCAGTAGCTGGGATTATAAGCACCTGCCACCACACCCGGCTAACTTTTTTTTTTTTTGAATGTATTTTTAGTACAGATGGGGTTTCGCCATGTTGGCCAGGCTGGTTTTAAACTCCTGACCTCAGGTGATCCACCCGCCTTGACCTTCCAAATTGCTGGGATACAGGCATGAATCACCGTGCCTGGCCAGATGTAATTTTTAAGTGTATTTGATTGAAATCTCATGTCTCCCCTCTCGAGTGTATAAAACCAGCTGCATCCCGACCACTTTGGAGGCGTGTTCTCAGGACCTCCTGAGGGCTGTGTCGCAGGCCATGGTCACTCATATGTGGCTCAGAATAATCTCTTCAAATATGTCTGACTCTTTTCATTGACAATATTTATTTTACACATAGGAAAGTATTGCAATTCCAATTAGAAGTTCCCTCGGGGAAAGTTGTCCCCAAAGCCATACGATATACAGGTATCTTCTACCTTAGCTGATATGCTGGCACCAAAACTTAATCATATTGCACACGTGCGTGGTGTGCCACACTTTTAAAGCCCTTTTAACTGCAATGATAATAATGATCCAGTTAGATATTTTAGACAGTGATGGGCCACTCGCTCATTTTTCAGAATGAATGAAACTAATTGATGGGCTAATCTGGTATAATAGCCCTTTCTGGATCAGAACCCAGGTTTTGGGGATCCCAGGGCTGAAGGTTTTCAATGATCATACTCTCCCTCACCTTAGCTAGAGAACACCTACAGCTCCTTACACCCCCAGTCTCCACTCCTCAGCAGAAAACAGGAGAAGCTGCAGGAGGTACAGAAATTTGAGCTCCAGAGCCTGGATCTGAACGAGTCAGTTACACCAGGGGACCATCTACAAAATACACATCAGGAAAGTCTGACCTGCTTTCTGGACTCTTTTTGGACACATTTAAGGACAGAGCTGGTGGGGCTGTGGAGCTGCTGGTAAGAAGCTTGTGTTTTTTTTTCCCCAGAAAATTCCCCAGGTGATCTGATTTATCCCCTCTACGCAAACCCCCTTTGCCACCAAAATCTCCAGCTTAGCTGTCACAGGCTATCTGATACTCTTGCTCCAGCAGCTCTGGGATAATGGCTCTGTATTGGAGTCGTACATAGAAATTCTCTTCTTACCTTGTGGCTTGGGCTTCCCTGCTGCTTTGGAGAGGCTCCCTGCTAGCCTGGCGGTGCGCTTTTCTCCTCTGACTCACCAACTCCCCTCTTGGCTTCCTCCTCCTACTTGCTTTTGCATAACCATCCCTACTCAGAGCACATTTCGCTGTCCTCTCCCTTCTGCCAGAACAAAAACAAAAAAGGACCCACCTTGCAAGACGGGCTTGAGAAAGCACTTGCTCCCAGGAAGCTGTAACAATAACAGCTTTAACCTCCGTGAGACCCAAGGTGTGGGGAGACTGCTTGAGGTGGGCTGGGAGAAGCAAAGGAGGAAGCATTTTCTCCCGGACTGGAGGCATCCTGGAATGTTGACTCCTGAAAGGCAACTGTGAAGGTCAACACCCTTGGGGAGGAGTGGGAAGGGGGAAAACAGAGAAAGAGAAAGAGACACTGGGAGAACTAGTTGATGAGGCTGACGGGGAAATTTTAAGACACAACCAGAAAGGCCACAAAATCTCAAACCCAGTTCCTAGACCTTACCTTACCTCCGAGGAGAAAATGTGAAAGTTGTTTCTTGCATTGCACCTGCCTTCTCACTCCACCCTGGGTCTAGGGAGGTAACAGTTCTGAGATTCTGTGTCATATTCAATATCTTCACCCTTGCTACAAGAGGTAATAAATATTTCCCGGGAGGACATAGATGTACTGGCTTGATGGTACAGGAGAAAAAAAATCCTCCTTAGGAAAAAAAGTTATCACTAAAGATTGTAACTTCTCCCTTGCTGTGTGCCCTTGGTCAAATCAGGTACCTACTCTGTGCTACTTTACATGGTTGTCATGAGTCTGAAACAATGGATGCCCATGAATAAGTGTAAACTGTGGTGGAGAATGGGAGCCTCAGACTTTCAAGTTTGAAATCTCGCTGGGCAAGTCATGCCACCTCTTTGAGCCCTAGAATATCATCAGTGTTGAATAAGGGTAACAATATATATCTTACAATATTGTTGTGAATGTTAGGATTAATACATATGAAGCTTCTAACACAGTATACGAGTTAAAAAGTGGCTGTTTACCTTTCCCCTCCCCCGGAACTCAGCTGCCAGTTCCTTTCCCAGACCTTGGAAGAGAGAGAGCAGGCAGGGAGCTGTGAGAGCTGAGATGATCTTTGTGGATTTCCATCAGCTAAGTCCACTAAGCACAAATGACAAGAACCTGTGGTGGTATTGATTTCAATTGTGTGGCTCTTCCTTCCTGTTTCTCTCTGGCAGAGAGAAGAGAAATTTCTTTTCCTCCGGTGAAGGACTTTGGACAGAGGTGTAACTGGAGGCGCTGGAACTGGGCAGTTGGTAGTTTTGCTTTTGTGGACAAAGAGGTGATTCAGGTGCTGGCACGACAGAGTGAGCTGGCACAAGCCTTAATCATGCTACTCAGAATGGTGTGTAATAAATGAACTGTTTATTTCTGCAATTTTTCCGTTTATTATTTTCAAATCATGGTTGATGATGTGTAGCTAAAACTGTGGGAAGCAAAACCGTGGATAAAGGGGGAACTCCTGCAGTTTTATTCCAGCCCTTTCTAACATTCATTTCATGTTTTTTCAAAGCCTTCCTAAATATGGTGAGGTCACTCAAATACATGACAACCCCCAAGTAATTTCGATCACCTGCCATTTTTCCCTTGCTAGGAATTCATGGTGGCAGAATGCCCAGCAGCTGAAGAAAGGCATTCTCTGGTCATTAGTATACAGTGATGACCAGCATGTTCAGAAACTGGACTTCCAAGGGTCTACCACATTCCACAGCACTGGGAAGAAATTTGAATGTTGGTGTCTGATATCCAGGCCTTCTTGTGGAAGTCCTGCAGTCCATGTCTCTAAGGCAGCACTGTCTAATAGCAGTCTTTGTGATGATGGAAATGTTCCATGTCTGCTCTATCTAGCCACTATCCATGCAGCCACTGAACACCTGACATGTGCCTAGTGCTACCATATTGGATTGTGCAGTCAAGTGAGAGATCTAATTTTCTTCTTGAGTCTCACAAAATCTGATGATAGATACGGACCTCTGTAGAAAAATGTACAGTTGCTCGTACACAAACACAAAGTCATGTGCAATGTCAAGGAATCTCAGGTTTAAAATCCCTACAAAGGGCTGTGTGCACTTCAAGTGGTTTAAAGACAATTGTCTCCTGGGGACCATTATTCAGCAGAGTGGCTGGTCTCAGCTTTGCCCTTGGAATTTTATCGTCTTTACTGTCTGGGGATCCACCTGAATGGTGACGAGACCTGGGGTCAGCTACTGACTTAGACTCTGATTTTCTTAGGGGTCAAAAGGATCTTTCTGCTGGTTATACTATCTGTTCATGCAACCTTACTCTAACCATCACTCCTTGTGTACTGAGATTGCAGTTTCTTCACTTCCACACTTATTTACACATCTTTTCTGTCCCTAGTGACACTAAAAGGACAGTGAGGCTTCCTTGAGTTTCTTTTTATGTGGGGGCTCTAGCATTCCTCATTTTGCTCTGAGCATTAGCCTGCAATGCAGATGTCTAGGGCTGAAACTGTTGAGGAACGTGTCACTCCCTACATTGGTCACCAACCCTGTTTTGCTTACCAAAGCCAGTGTCTGGCCTGAGTAGGTCACTGGCTAAGTGACTGAGTTTAGACAATAGATTCTGGAGAGATAGAACTTTGTAGTTTGGCTAAGTTTCTGAAGGCTGCAGAGACTGGATCTTAGCATCATAGGGAGCCAGTGCCTTCAGAATCAAGGCAGGAGGGAAATCTTGGCTGCTGTAAATCCTATTCTTAAATGGGTAATTGCTTTCAGTAGAACCTTGTTCCTTGAACTGGACCCTGGTAGTGAACATCTGTGTAGGGAATCCCCCAGCAATAGGATGTCCTTAGCTGTGTTAGAACTATTTGTTTCAACAGTGGGAGAATAAGCTGGACTAGAATAGATCAAGATTAGGGAAAAAATGAACACAGTTTTAAGTTTTTCCTGGTTCTTGCTTTCTTATTGCTCCTTTGAAGGGCAGAGAGGATGGGAAAGTAGGAAATAATGAGCCAGGAACACCTAGGAAAGCTCAGGCATCCCTTGTATGTCTTTGATGGTTCAGGAACATAGCATTGCTGGATAAATGTGGCTTTATCTGGAATCAGGCTCCTGAAATTCTACCTTTGGTCTTCCAAAAACTGTCAGAGACTGCTCCAGGTGAACCGTGGTGATTTAGTTAGGGAGTTTCCAGATGAAATATGGGGAGATTATCAGCGTGTCTTGTGGTGGACCGTAACCTCATGTATCACATTGATCACACAGTGTCTGTGTATTTTACCTTTAAATAGCTGTCAAATTTGTCCTCCTTCTTTTTATGTCAGCAGCCACTGTCTTCTGTCTGCCTTTCAATTTTTTGCTTGAATTTCTGCCAACAGCCTCTCACTTTTCCCCATATCCCCAGTCTTACCCCCTCCAGCCTTCCCAGTCTACCCTGCAGCTACAGTGACCTTTCCTAGGATGGATCTGATCCCCAGCATTTCCCTGATGAAAACACTGCAAGGAAGCTCATTAGAGACATGGTACAAATTCCTCAACATGCTTAGTTAGTCACCTTTTAAGAGCTGGTATCTCTTGGCCGGGTGTGGTAGCTCATACCTGTAATCCCAGCACTTTGAAAGGCTGAGGTGGGTGAATCACCAGAGGTCAGGAGTTTGAGGCCAGCCTGGCCAACATGGTGAAACCCTGTCTCTACTAAAAATAGAAAAATTAGCTGGGCACCTGTAATCCCAGCTACTCGGGAGGCTGAGGCAAGAGAATTACTTGAACTCAGGTAGTAGAAGTTGCAAGCAGGTGGGTAGATGATATGCTGGGAATTTGTGGAAATTCTCTTCTTATTGCTTTTGTTTTTCTAGTGAGTGAGGGGATAAAGTTGTCAGCTGAGTCTGAGGATGGGGACGGAGTTACGGAAGCTTGAAGAGAGAGGGGAAGATATGGAATGGCCATCTGTGAGAATACATTAGTGACTGTGCCAGGGTAATGGAAGTAAGATAGATGAGTGCTGCTGAAGGTGAGTGATCATAAACTTAAAGTGAAAGCAGATAGCCGAGGTGAGTACTTTTTCCAGCCATGTTTGGCTGCTACTACTTGTGTGGGCATGGGTGGAGAGTTAGATTTAAGTAAGATCTGTGCTTTTTTGGAAAAGTACAATGAGGTATTAGAGAAGCAAGGGAGCCTAGGGGATATTCAAGGGTGTAATTATAATAATGAACCATGAAATTTAAGCTGGTTAAGAGGAGAAACAAGCTGGGTGCGGTGGCTTACGCCTGTAATCCCAGAACTTTGGGAGGCCGAGGCGTTCGAGACCAACCTCGCCAACACAATGAAACCCTGTCTCTATTAAAAATACAAAAATAGCCAGATGTGGTGGCAGGTGCTTGTGATCCCATCTACTTGAGAGGCTGAGGCAGGAGAATCACTTGAACCAGGGAGTTGGAGGTTGCAGTGAGCCGAGATCGTGCCACTGCACTCCAGCCTGGTGACAGAGTGAAACTCTGTCTCAAAAAAAAATAAATAAAAATAAAAATAAAAAAGGAGAAACAAGGACACAAAGGTTATAGCTGAGCTAAGTTGGAGGGCAAGCTTTTTGGGAGCAAGGAGGTCAAGGATTTGAGACATCAGGGCTTTGAAAGTGTCATCTCTAAGGATATTAAGTTCATGTAGAATTGTCCCAGAGTAGGGTTGGAGAGTGATAGGGGCCATATAACTGTAATGAGGGCAGTATAGTCTGGTTAATATCAGAGTCAAAACTGGAAAGGTTTAAGAAGGAGGGAGCCAGAATAATCTGGAAGCAGCAATGAGGAACGAGAACACCTATCCCACTGCGGAGTGTAAGAGGAGCAGCCACCACTTGAGAGGACTGCAGAGGAAGCAGTGTTTTCAAGGGAGACCCAGTTTCCTTTAGAGTAGGAAAATGAAGAGGAAATTAGAAGACTTGGAGATGGATTTTGCAGATCCCAATGATGAATTCTTGGGGGTGTCAGGGGATGGGGAGGGTGGGAAATGGGGTCAGGAAATGAGATGTTTGGAGCCGTTTGGGATGAAATGCAAGGGATAAGGAACAACTGGGAATCCTGGGCTTCTTGTGTGACTGGCATTAACCAGAATAAGGGAAATAATAACAGATGATGATGGCCTCCAGGAAGATAGTGGTGGCCAAATTGAAAACTTGGGGAAGGGCAGTGCGAAGTACCTGCCAGAAGAGGCTGGGGTGCCCTCTCTTTGCTCTTGGCAATGGTGATGTGGAGGCCAGGGTGGTGGTGGTGTTGAAACTGTAGACATTGAGAAACCGCATCACCACGTTTCCAAACAATGCAAAGCATCTGAGGTCAGCTTGGTTGAAGGAACAAGAGTTTTGACTGAGC